CTCCCACCCGGGGGTGGATTTGGTAGGAGGGCGCGCAGGCGTGGCCGTGCTCCTTTTGGAGTCTGCGGGCTCGGGCGCGTTGACCACTTTTTCTTCCTGGCGGTGCCTTCCTGGCTGATGTTTCAGTAGAACCTCGTGGATGCAGGAAGGGGTGCGTGGGAGACAGGCGGCATGTTCCTAAAGTGGGGCGCAGGGTGCCTCGGTCTGAGCGGGTTTCCAGAAGCGGGGTTCGTCGGCTGGCTGAGCACACGGGCAGGGTGAGCCTGCCCGCAGGTGTAGCCCGTGGTCTGACTTCCCTCGCTCAGCTGAGGACGTGTGCTGGGAGGAACAGACCGCTTCACAGGGCTCTGCCGGCCTCCTTATGAGGTGGCTCGAAGGCTGCCGTTTCATGGTAGTTTGAACAAGTCTAAACTAGAGCTGCTGCAGTGCCGTGCTCCCCTCTGGCCTGTTCTCTAGCTGGAGTGTTGATGCCTGTACAGTTCCACCAGCTTGTTTGTAGACTTTGATCATAACACTTGTATTTTTCCCCCTCAGTCTTTTTTTTTCTGGGTTTAGCTTGTGTGAACACAAGTGCAGGTGCAAAGAGAGCAAGGCTGCTGGTTTCTTTTGCCCTAGCCCGCTGTAGAACTGCACCATTGGTGCTCTACAGAGCACTATGTTTACTTCACCTGTCCTGAAATTTTTCCTGCTCATTGGGGTGCAGCTGTGCAATTCAGGCAAGGAGGATTTCAAGACATAACCCTCAGGGAGAAGACAGAAATACTTCTAAAAGCAGATAGCTTCTGTTCTGTCCATGTCTCCCCTGCACACACACATACACACCTGGGGAATTATATATGTGAGTTCCCCATTTGTACCTGGGGAACTAACACATACGACAGTCTCCCTGAATGTTTTGCTTGCTGGATGTTCACACTGGTTGTTATCCCGCACCTTCCAAGTTACTAGAAAAAAAAAAAGTTACCTCTTGAGTAGGCTCAAAGCTCTTGTGCAGTGAGCCAAGGCCTTTTAGTCAGGAGGGGTTGAAAATAACCCATCTCTTCAATTCTGAAAGCAGGGTAGGCATAAAGCAAAGGTAGGAGGAGGGGCATAAAGAGGATGGAAGAAGTCTCTCTGCAGAAGTGCTGCCGCACTCCACTGAGGCGTGCGGTCTGGCTGTGATGTGGGTGCAAAGCGACTAGAGGGCACCAAGCGTCAAGGAGCAATATTCAAAGACTGCAAATGGTGTCTGGGTTGATTGAGAGAGGTCAAAGCTGTCTGCTGGAACTAAGCAGACGTAGTATTTTATTAAAATACATGTTTTAAGGCAGGCTCCAGTTTTCTATGCTGATTCTGTTTGCCAGATACAGTGAGCCCCAGCTGCAGTGCATATCTGCATGGCAAGGCTCTTAATCGCATCGCTTTCCTTTCCTAGACAGGGCAGCTGTTCAGCTGCAACCTTGTGTCATTTTTTCACTTGTATGTTTATTCTGTATCAAAATATTCTCTGTGGAGTTTAGCTTTTTTCTTTTTAAAGCAGTCTCTAAAGATTGTCACTGCTGGGTTTGGGGGGGGGTTGTTTGGGGAGATTTTTTGCTTTTTAGTTACTTGAAGGTTGGACAGAATTTGTGCTTCTGAATTTTGGGAGCAGTCATGGTCACCCACTTCCATTTTCAGCAGTGCCCATAGATGTCCGTTGCCAGCATAACTATGCTCTGCCTTTTTTCGTTGGTGATGGAGAACTTTTGTCCTCTGCAAGCTGGGTAGCTCTCGAGTATCTCCTGGTAGGTGTTGCTCCCGTCAGAGGAGCAAACAGTCTAAATAGTAAGGGCACATGGGGCATAACCAAACCATGACAGTCTTGGAGGACTTTTTCCAATGAGTCTTACTATCTTGCAGGACACAAAATATTCATGGGTGTGTAATTTCTATATACTATCAACCTTGATTTAGCAGCTTCGATGTCTTCATTTTCCTCTGTGCCCCTGGCTGTTTATACAGGCTGAAAATCCTGTAGGCCTTGGGATGGGAAAGATGAATTGGAGCAAAGAATCAGCAGGCTGAGGGAAGGAAGAGTTGCCCCGAGATTTTTCTGTGCCTCAGAGTCTTGTGGGAAATGACTTACTATCTTTATTTGCTTAGCTACTAATTGAAGACAACCTTCTTTGACCTAGGTTTAAAAATCTGCAAGGCACAAAATCTCCTAATCCCAAGAACAATTTCTGTACTGCACCAAGTCAAATTGCAGTTGTGTTGCGTTTGTCTTGTGGGGACAAAACCACAAGATTTTTGAGTGAGGTGTAAAGAACATAATGTTGTAAAGATCTTGACTGTACTGTTCCCCTGAGCACTTTTCTAGGAATTTGCAGTACACTTTGTGTTTTATGAAATGTGTGTAGGCTCTGGGGGTGTAATTGTTAATCTTGTGCTGTTTAAACACTGAGGGGGATCCCCTTTGTACAGAGATGGGATTAAGCCACTGCTGCTTCTTAAGTAATTCTTGGCTCAGTTGGTTACCAAGTTGTGGTGAAAAGTCGTCTTTATAGAAATGTTCTCTTTCTTCCCTGGGCTAGCTCAGACTGATGAAAATAACTTGTGGGATTGCTCCTTCCTCTTAGGTGTTCCAGACATGTTTTTATTTTCCCAAAGTAGTGGCAGGTTTGGTTTTGGGTCACTGGGGTTGTGAATGAGTCCTGCAGAAGAGGTGGAGCAAGCCCAGTTTTGATAAACAAGAAGAGTGTTTTGCTTTAATGTGCAGGTTCAGAAGGACCCAGCAATTATTGAGCAACTTCTGTAATTCAGTTGAAAGTAAAAACACTGTAATATTGTGTGTATGTTGGTAGGATAAAGCTGCTGAGAGAGATTGGTGAAACTGGAGAACACCAAAATTGAGTTTGTTGACTCGATTAGCATTAACTTCCAGTGGTTGTATACACTGTAAATCTGCTTTAGGCCTTTGCTGAATGCAAGGTTGAAGGTTGTTCAAAAGTGCTTTAAATATAGTTGTGTGATTTTTTTTTTGTGTTTGTTTTTTTTCTTCTACAGGTTCTGAATGAGAAAAAGCTCCAAGAAGTTGACAGTTTATGGAAAGAATTTGAAACTCCTGAAAAAGCCAACAAAATGTAAGCAGCTTTATGTGGGGATAGCAGCCTGGCTTTTGGAAGGACATGACTGCCTGTAGTTATGCAGATCTGAAGTTCAGAAGGAAGTATTGATTTTTATTTTTCAGTATTGTAAAACCTAGAAGCTATGAACAATGATAATGTGAAGTTAGATACTCAGAGAAACTTAAAATGGAATATCAAAGTGAAAGAAATAACTTTTTTTTTCCTTGCAGTGTAATTAAGCTGCAGTAGTCATTACCATGTGCCACTGAAGCAAAAAATTGAACAGTATTTTGAGGAGATCTGGATGCTTTGACAAGAACATCCAAGCTTGTAATGCTGGAACTGGCTGAAATGACAGGTTTTTGTGCTTACAGAAAATCCTTAAAAAAAAAAAAAAATATATATATATTAATTCAGCTGAAACTAAGAGCGTGTGAATCACTGTGAATTGAGTTAGTGTTGTTGCCCATGCCATCAGTGAGTGTTAGCACCACTGTGTAGCTGCAAGGGGATTGCTGTGTCCACTGACCAAGTTGGCCTTTCTAGCAAATTGCCCCAAAGCTGGGAACAACGGTGGATTCCTTCCAAGTCTGTCTAGGGTGTTTTTATTGGAAGATTTCTAATCGGCTTTGGTTATAATAGATACCTCTGAACAAGCTATGCCTTGTGATTTGGATTTATCCTGCTCTCTAACAGTATTTAGAGGAGAGGCCAGAATATCCCACATCTGCCTCCTTGTAGTGTTGTTAATCTTGTCTTGGAAACATCATCTTGGCTGCTTGCTAGACAGGACGTGGCCCTTAATGGATCTCTACTCTGATCAAAGTAATTCCTATCTCCTGCTTTTCTGTAAAGGCATCAGTATAAGCCTGGAGCTTCTGTTGGGCTCTGTGAATGCTTAACTGAAGCATTTAGCTTTATCTGTGACCTTGCTTCCTTTACAGATACTTGACTCACACAGAGCAGTGGTTAATCAAAACTGGGATTAGTCAAATGCCTGTCCCTGACAAGGAATTTACTGGATTGAGATAGCTTCTTAACTGTAACTCTAGATATCAACACCACAGACTATGTGAGGGGGAGAGAGAGAAGCTGGGCCTAAGGATCTGACACAATGTGGTTAAACACTGTCCATATGATTTTTTACTTTGGTCAGCAGTTAGGTCATGGAAGAATTTTCTGTTGTTTGTTTTAAGCTCAGCTCAGAACTTTTATTCTAACATCTAATTACAAGGAAGGACTTGAGGATTCATGGGCAATGAATCAGTTCAATTTTAAAGTCTTTGAAGATGGTTGACAAGCATGTTAAATCTGAACTGTGCAGGCTATGCATTCCACAGAGGCAGAAGGTTCCCTTTTGAAGATGAGTGGGAAGATGCCATCATCAGTCAATCAGCAGTGACACCTAGTTAATCAGGGTGCAGTGTTGAAATGTCAATGTATGATGTCTGTCTTTAAATATGAACTACAAAGCTAAAAGGGGGCTTAGGTTTTCTGGTTATGTTGGTCCTAGAAATACTAAATAAAAATTCCTTTCTTTTTATTTTTTTAATGAAGTTTGTGGGACCCAGTTGAGAAGTCGCATCAGACTCAGAGTTAACCAGCGGGTTTAATGTACTTCCTTCTGTTTGAGGATCTGGGTATTGATCTCTGCTCTCCTGCAGTCTTAGGGAGAAGAGGGAACTATAATAGCTGAGGCAGAAAGAAAGTAAAATGGTTCTAGCAGCTGGTTTATGTACACTCATTTACCCGCTTGTATTTTTCTTCTATAGAGTAAAGCTGAAACACTTTGAAAAATTTCAGGACACAACAGAAGCACTTGCTGGTAAGTGAGTTAACACCATTCTTAAAAAAAAAAAAAAAAACAAAAAAAAACCAAACAAAAAAAAACCCAACAAACCTCTTGTCATGCACTAGTTCACACATAACTTACCTCTGCCCCTGCTCCGTTTCTTTGCTTAGTTTTTAAATTACAAATTTTTCAAAGTCAGCTGTGTTTGTTGTTTTATGATGTCATCCATCCAGTCTATAGTGCAGTAGAGGTGTAATGAAGTCTATTTTTTTTTATGCCATGTTTATTTCCCAAGCAGCTCATAATGAGCACCATGTAGAAGGTTTTGACTAATGTATGCTGCCTGTTGTCAATGATGGATTCTTTTTGAAGCTGAATATAACTGATTTGAGTCAACATTTCGTCACTACCACTGAGACAACAGGCAGATATCAGAGTACATATATTATTACAACTGCCCTTGTTTTATGGGTGTATATTAAGCCTGTTTTTTTAGCCTAAAAAATACCTGTATTGCACTTAAAAGAAATTCAGGAGTTTAAACAAAATGGAAAACCTTGTATTCAATAATATTTACTAATTTAACACTTAAATGCTTGATGCTGTGGACTTGTTTGAACAGAAATGATAGAAGTTCTAGGTAATAATTCAGAAGTGGTGTAACTATTACTGCTGAATGTGGTGTATGACATCAGTAGGTGGATGTTCCAGGCTGCATTTACGACTAAAGAACGGATTTTCATATTCTGATGTGGTACAGCTAGCTTATAAAGGAAGCTAAGGGAACAAGAATGGAGATACTACCATCGTACATGAGATGCAAGTGAAACAACTGAGATTGAAGCTGCTGTGTATTCCTTTCCCTGGTGTATTTTTGGGGTTATGTTGCTTCTGCATAGGTTTAGATTCAGATAATTTGTAGTTAGGCTGATTAAAAAAAGAAAACAAAACAACACCCTCAACAAGAGACACACCCCCCCCCCCCCCCCCCCCCCCCCTTCTACTACTTTGCTTCACGTTTACTTATCTGTGAAATGGGAGAGGTTATTCCAGACTACCTATGTTCCATTTATTTTGAAGGGAAGACTACGTATGTGGCTGTTTTAAGTGGGTTAGGAGCTATTGACCAGCTTGAAAGGTAGAAACATATCTCCATTGTAGAAAGCTTGAGAAGAAACTCAGCACAGCACTTAGATTTTACCCTTACATTTCATTAAGGTTCTGGAAATCAAAAATCACTGGCTTCTGCTCGATTTACTGTGTTGAAGATGTTACATCAATCACAGAAGTTCAGTGGAGCACAGAGCTGACTCGCGAAGAGAGTTGTATAAGTGCCTTTTTAAAATATATTGTGTGGGATTGTAAAGCTTTTGCAGATCTATTAATACTTGAGAATGAAGAACATATCTTTAAAATTACTTACTCTACATGCTATATTAAAAAGTTCTGTGTCTGACTGCCCAGTCAGTGTGTTCGGCATCATTCTTTACTGGGCTTTAGATAGTACTTTATCATCATCAGAGGATGCAAATAAGTCATTATTCAATTTAGGATATCATGGTTGCTGACTGAGGGATGTGGAAAATGGTTCGTTAATTAAATGACACAAAATGTTGCCATGTAACCCTTCCTTCGGAAATGTTAAACATATATCTAAAGCATATGGCATAGTGTTTGTAGAGATCCTTAAACAAAATTTACAGAAATAGAACTGAAACCACATGGAGAAAGGAGAGGCAACTGGGAGAAGGGGTTTTGATTTAGGCCTCCAAAGGAGCAAGTATGTAATTTTCTTCTATTTCAATTTTAACCACTGCATGGCAAAGTAGTATTGCAGCTCAGACTGGAGCTACTGTGGGCAGTTACAATAAAAATACCAAGTTAGGAGTACTATTTTTACAGGCTTTAGGAGGGGAAAGAAACTGCATTTTTGGTCTTTTTGTTTTATACAGCATCCACAGCTCTTGTAGAAGGCAAGCTCAGCAAGAACTTGAAGAAAATTCTCAAGAAAATAGTGGCAAAAGATGCCCATGAACAGTTGGCTGTAGCGGATGCCAAACTTGGAGGTGTCATAAAGGTGATAACTGGTTTTGCCATTTTTCCTGTTGTCTCATGCTACTGAAATCTTACAGAATTTTTTCAGAGATTTTGCAATCATTAGCAATGGATTATGCTTCCAATGCTGTCTTTGAAGCATGGAAGATATCAGATCTTATGAGCAAATGTGTACTGCATGCATATTGGGAAGAAGTTGTCTTGAGTGCACAAGTGAATGATATGGTAAAAGTGCACTGAGGTGTTCAGGCAGGTTTGCTTGATTTCTCTCTTAAGTATTGGTTAGAAACCCAGCAGATTAAAAAATTAATTTCCCTAGTGATTCCATCCAGAAAAAGAGGGGGAGGGGAGAGGAACCAAACAAAAAATCAGCCAGGCAGACACGTTTATTCCTCACTAACCAATGCAGCAATCCTGGGGTGATTACTTACTGTCTTCTTGGGAGTACACACTGTTCTGCCTTCCTCAGTCTAAAGCAGTTGTGCACAACCTTCAGTCCTTGCCTACCAGAGGAAGGAAGAAGTACAGTAGAGGTGGACTGCTTTCTCCAGTGTCCCCTAGGTGTCAAGTACCAGTTTCCCATCTTGTGTCTGATTGCTCCCTGTTCCAGTGATTATTTTTTTTTTATTATTCTGATCACCTCCTAATGCTGTCTTAGGAGACTGGTGTAGGCTGCAAAATTAAGAGAATTTAGCATTAAAGTGAATAATACCAAGGACTTTGAACTAATTATTCAGTTTTGTTCTCTGAAAAAGACCCAAAGCCCCCAACCCTCTACCTCTGAATTTTCTCTCTGTGGCCAGACTGTTTCTAGTAAACTGCAAAATTTCGAGTCTTCAGTTCCAGTGTCTGCATAGCAGATAGAGCTTTAATTATAAATCTTCTCTTCAAACTTCAGTTGTTACTCTGCAGGGAACTGGGGGTATCGCTACCTTGAGCATCAAAGATAACTTAAAACTTGTGTGATCACAGGATTGCAGTGGGAAAACCAGATATAATGAGATAAGGCCACTGGAAGAAGGGCTTTAAAGGAATGTCATCGTTGTGCCTGACTTTGGAACATTGTTTTCCATCCTGCAGGACAAGCTGAATTTGAGTTGTATACACAGCCCAATGGTTACAGAGCTGATGAGAGGAATTCGCTCACAGATTGAAGGGCTTATTACAGGTCTCCCTTCTCGAGAGATGGCAGCTATGTGTCTGGGTCTGGCACACAGGTGAGTTCCTAAAGCAGCTCTATTTCATCCCATGTCTGTCCCACTCCCGTGTCCTTGGCTATGCTGTGTTGCTTAAAGTGTCTCCGAGTATGTGACTGGTTTGGGCCAGACTGGCCACTGAAAAAAATGACAGTGATGTGGTCTGATACCCTGTAAGTCAAGGCACATTTGTATCTGAAATCTTGTTTTATAAAGGAAGAGCTTTCCAGTTTGCACCTACACTTTAGGGAAAAGCTTTATCTTCACCCAAAGTTGAAGTTGATAGTTTTCCTTTGCATATTATGTACTTAAGGATTTGGTTTGAAATGTCTCTGTAGCAATCAAGTGGGTCATTTAAAACTCCATTACCACTGAGAAGCAAGGTGAACACCATGATTTGCTGATTTATGCCAGGATAAATATCCCTGTAATACATGATGTAAATGTTAAAGGCGGAGTTGTCTTCCCATCTTGCTACCACTGCCTTCTCGGTTTAGTGGAGCAGTACGTAACTACAAAGTTGTTGGGTCAGCATGCGGTCAAGCATTTGTTCATGAGTAACTTTCACTCCATATTCTGACATGAGCTTGTCCTGTCCATGAGCCATTGGCAAGTTAGCTACAGCAAAGCAGTTCTCTAATTCCTTAAAAATAGATGCATGTTTGCTTAGAAAATGGGCATTAATATTGAAAAAGGACTTTGAAGATGCAAGTTCTCACTGATATCAAGTGTCTTTTACTGTAGCATACTGAGACATTTTAAACTTGCATTAAAGCCAGATGGTAATCGACTTTCTCAGACAGTGAGAATCTGTTCCAGGAAGTTTCTTCTGTTGCTTTACATTAGAGTTGCTGATATTTGCTACTTGGTAGGTACAGTTTTGTGGATTGCCTCCAGCCGCTGCAGAACTGGAAGTGCCGTTGACCAAAACTTTGTGGGGAGCCATGCAGAAAGAAACCAACAGCCAATTTCCTGCCACAGTACTCGTGTTCAGTCAGCTGCACGTGGTACAGATAGCCATAACTTTCCCTTTCACTCTGGTTGCGGGTTATGTGCATGTACACGTGTCGGAGCTGTTGTGAAACTTGTGTCAGTGTGGCTTCTGGCCACATCTGAGAGCAGTCAGTGGCATAAAACTGAGTTGGTATGAATGAATGTAGGGACAGCTATATTCATGTAAAATGGGAGAAGGTGAGACATCCTCTGCAGTGGGATGTCAGGATGCTGATGAAACTGTATTTCTGTCTCCTCAGCCTTTCCCGATACAAGTTGAAATTCAGCCCAGACAAAGTAGATACCATGATTATCCAAGCAATTTGTAAGTATATTTAGAGCTTAAATTATTAATGGATTCAGCTTAGGATAGCTGACTTCTTTACATTGGTTACAGAAAAGAATGGCTGGGACAGGATTTTCTGACCACTTCGGGGAAGATACCCTATGCAAGATATGCATAGAGGGCAATGTAGAAATAGACTCTCATGTTAGGCTTGTAAAACCCATTGCAGTGCGTAATGCTGCATTCCATCTCTGTGCTTTCTTAATTAATGGTAAACAGGCTGAAATTGTAAACGCAGCTAGGAAAGCCTCATTTTTCCTTGAAGACATCCACATCATAATCGGCATGCTTGCTGTGAAGCAGTGGTGAGGAATCCCTTTTGGAATATTAATTCCCAGACTGTTGTCAATGATGAAATATAGTTAAGCTGAAATTAATGATTTAATTCAGTTTCTTCGTCACTACCACTGAGACAACAGATGGGAATGTTGGTATTGCATTAGTGGGAAATATTTTAGCCTTGGGCTCTGTAGCAATATATGCTGTGGGTGTTATACTCTTATGTTGTAAATCTGGTTATTGGTCATATCTGGTAAATGGTGAGCCTGTTAGATTTGTGTTAGGTAGGTTTATGTTATAAAGGCAACTAAAGGGCTTAATACAGTCTTTTAAATCAAATAATTGAATACAAGATCAGTTTCTCACCATTAAAACATTTTTCCTTAAAGTTAGGTTGCTAAGTTTTACATCAATCTTGTGTGTAGCACTTTGGCTGACTGAGAGGAAGAATAACTACCTGCTGCTCCCCTTCCAGGGGAATGTACTTTACAGCTGTTAAAGGAGTCTGTCTAAGGCAGTCCAAGTGATGAAATGTTCAGGCCACACTCATGGGAATTCTAATATTTCTGTAATACTGTGCCTGGGATTATGTAGTTCTCTGAAAAGTGAAAACTTCTAATGTACTGCAGCTTATGTTTCATTCCAGTCTTTATGGGATAAAGTACTTCAGTTTGTCTACCTTTACGCTATTTAAATTTGTTAATTTGAGTATGTTCCATTTTTATATTACCTTTTTAGAAAAAAAAAAAGTCCACTGTTCTTTCTCTTAGCACTTCTTGATGACTTGGACAAAGAACTGAATAACTACATCATGCGCTGCAGGGAATGGTATGGTTGGCACTTCCCTGAACTGGGCAAAATCATCACAGATAACCTAACATATTGTAAATGTGTGCGGAAAGTTGGTGAGTAATAAGGAGACATGAGCCTGGACAACGTTGCGTGTTCGTATGCAATGCATTAACGACACTGATTTGTAAACCAGCTACTCACTCATGACCCCATATACAATCTTGCCTTCAACAGCAGCATGAGTAGGGCCAGTAGAAAAGTAGTGTATGCCTGCATCTGTATGTTGATGCAATTTACCATTTTTAAGCTTAAGAGAAAGCTAATACCATATAACCAGTCAGTTCTTCATGGACCACCAGCATGTCGTCTTAGAATCACAATTAGTCAGCAGACCAGTTGGGAAATTAGTTGCCAAAAACTGATGTAAAGAGAATTGCTGCCTGTTTGTGGGTGTTCTTGGAGGCTACAACTGCTATAATTATTCATAAGAGCAGAAAGAATGACCGCTATAATATTTTGAACACTTGCTCACCTCTTAGGGATGTGGTTTGTATTGATGATTTTTATTTTGTTTTTTAATAATGAAATTCACAATCCAGAGAGACTTGTGGTTTTACGGGAGCTTTTTTCCCCAGTTGTAGGAAGAATTACATAGGTTTGGTTAGTGGTAAATGACTGCTCATTTCCTGGAATTGTTCCTTTGTAATCTTGTGACTGAGAATTTTGCAGCAAGCAACTACTGAAAAGGTGAAGTATGCAGTGTTACAGAATAAGGTGGTTTTTTTTCTAGTTTCAAATTTAATATTTCCAACTATTCTCAGCTAGTATAAACAAAGTCAAAACATTGACATATTTTGGGAGTTAGGATGACAGGAGACTTGACTAACTGTTGTTATTTTGGCCTTTTATTGTTGTCTGTTTCTGTGCCTTTTTTTTTTTTTACTACTTCATCTTGCCCCCAGCACAAACATGCTTTCTTCTGTACCCCACAGGAGACAGAACCAATTTTGCCTCCTCTGATGTTTCTGACATCCTACCAGAGGAGATCGAAGAGGAAGTGAAGGCTGCTGCTGAGATTTCCATGGGGACAGAAGTATCAGAAGAAGATATAAACAACATAATCCATCTCTGTGATCAGGTATATACACGTGGATGAATAGCAACAGGAACTCCACTTTAGTTAGCCATATCAGAGCCTTTTCTACCAAGGAGAGGTTTTCCCAGGGCGTTGTTAACACACTTGTGATGGCAGTGATGATACCTCTATTGTTGCTCTCCTGATGTACAGACGTGAGGGTGCACAGTCACTACCTCATCTGAGCCATCTCAGACTGTTGATGTCTGCACAGTCTTCCGAAAATGGCAGTCTTTCTTTTAGGTGGAATTTTGACATCCTTGTGCTTTTAAGTCCTTGAGGTAATGGTAGTGTATAGCCTCTCTTTAATCTGCCAGTTTTGAAGCTAGGTGATAAACCCTGGGTTAAAAGTGTAACACCAAGGCCCCAGAAGAGTTAGGAGCCCTATCCTGCTTTCATCTGGATTGTATGTGAACTCCTCCTGACTTCAGTTGTGCTAGTTGGATCCCTTTGTGACTTTACCAGGGAGTGGCAGGGTTAGTAGTTCCTGTTCTTGGTCTAGACCAGGCTGCTTTTTTATGTGCGTTCTAATTGTGTGTATTTGTATGGAACAAGTAAAGAGCATTTATCCCATTTCAAGAGAATGGTGGCAAAGATTTATGTGAAAACTGAATGTTCCAGGGTTTTGTCCTAAAGAAAATGCCCTTACTAAGTATTTTTGTTCTACTTCGCTGTCTTTGGCATGTTGTCAGCTCCTTTATCAGGAGCTTTGCTGAGAAAATAAGTTGCATAAGAGAATGAGCAATGCAGATCCAATATACTTCATGGATGGAGCTCTGCTGTGGGAGTATGCCCTATATAAAGCTTTCTATAACTCTGGCTAATGCTTGTCTGTGCATTTTGCATTTTGTTGGTCTCCTTCATAGGAATTCTCAGCACTTCCTCATTTCAATATATTTAGCCCTTAATATTTGTTGCTCAGCTAATACTGATTCCTGTAACCTAACTCTGTGCCAGGTGATTGAAATCTCTGAGTATCGGACACAGCTGTATGACTACCTGAAGAACAGAATGATGGCAATTGCTCCTAATCTCACCGTCATGGTGGGTGAACTGGTTGGAGCAAGGCTCATTGCTCATGCAGGTGGGTTACACTGATCAGTGTAAATAAAGCTTAGATAACCTCATCAGAGATTTTTCTGATGAGGAGCTGGTCAGCTAAAACCATTATGGAAGGCCCTGATGAACGTCTCATGGTAAAGCGAGGGGGAAGGCAGCTCTTGAGGAGTCTGAGAATACCAGCATGAGCTTGGTAGTAGTCTGTGATGACAAAGTTCTCAGTTGGCCTGAATTCTTTTTGGAATATGAGGGCAACTTAAGTCACTACCTCTTCTGAGACACTTACCAAGCCTCCTGCTGCTAGTCCTGTTACTTCTGAGGTAAAATGCTGACAAACTGGCATTAGGCTTTTATATTCAGACTGGCTAAAGGTAGCAGTATTGTTTCAGTTATCTATGCTGCAGTTCTGTGATGACACGTTCTTGCTGCCAGACTTTGTCAGGAGTAGGCATTACTCCAGTGGAACATGTTTTACTGAGTCAGCCTTCTTTCCTGTTGCTGAAATCAGACTAAGATAGAGTTAGTTGAAGCATGAAAGACTGAAATGGCTTACCTGTCCTTTAGGAAATAAACATGAAGCAGCTCTCATAGAAATAGATGGCTCTGAGCTTCCTACTTTTGAATAGTGTAGGAATCTAGCCTCCTGCTTCTCTAGCTGCTCCTCTGACAAATTACTATCACTGTGTCACCTCCTTCTAGGTTCCCTCTTGAATCTGGCAAAACATCCAGCTTCAACAGTTCAGTTACTGGGTGCTGAGAAGGCACTCTTCAGAGCACTGAAGACTAAACGGGACACACCTAAATTTGGCCTTATCTATCATGCTTCCCTAGTGGGACAAACCAATACCAAAAATAAAGGAAAGGTGAGTTGCAGAATTGTTTACCAGCTTGGCTTTTTCCGGAGCATGAATATCTGTTGATGTGATGGCTTGAGCTTCACAGTGAGGCTCTTTCCATGGCTTGCTTTACTATATTACTTTGTGGTTACGTGGAAAATGCCACTGTCCCACAAATCTTTGAATGCCATTCATTTCTGTTTGAAAAAGTGAATGGGACTGTCCGTTTGACACATCTGAGTAATAACAGATGCATTCCT